TCAGATAATGTCAAGTCTGAATAGGCAGTCAGGGGAGTGTGTAGAATAGAGTGATGTCTTCAAAAAATGAGCTCCCTCTAATGCTTTGGTTCTCCATTTTTAGAATGTGTTGAAATATGGTTGCTAAATATCCAGAAATCACATCCTTGTACCAGGAAGAAAGAATGAAGGTAGAGAGATCAACCAAAGGAGTTGTATGCATGCATATAAGCCTAACCAATGGACACAGACAAAAGGGGGTGAGGGCATGAGTGGGGAGTTGTGGGGGAGGGGTAATGTGGAGATAAGGACACATATGTAATACCTTAATCAATAAAGAAATTAAAAAAAAAAAAGAATGAAGGTGGAAAGAACCTAAGAATATGCCAGCTGCTTCCGGTTTCCTTCAGAAAGTTTTCCCAGACTCTACTCAGTAACTTTTACTTACATCACTTTGGCTTAGATAGTCACATGCTGCAAGGGAGTGTGGATGGTGAGTAGTTTTAGCTGGGGACACAGCCACCCTGAACTAGATCAGGGTCCTGTTAGTTAAGAAGAAAGGTCCTCTGTCCTTTTGCCAGTGATCTTCTCTCTGCTTCCAATTTTCTCCCTCCCCTTGACCACCCAGGACATTCCTTTTATTTAATAATATTTATTTCATATTCCCTGCCAGTCCCAAGGCTAGATCCTGGGGCTCTAAAGAGAAGTAAAAAGTAGTCTTTGCTCTTGAAAAGGTCCTAGTCTAACCTATAGCAGGAAGCAAATACACACTATCTAAACTTAACAATTGCACAGTCACAAAAGCACACTATTTCAAGATATAGCCCTGGCCAGTGGGACTCGGAGGGTCGGAGCGACATCCTGGGTACCAAAAGGTGGAGAGTTTGATTTCCGGTCAGGGTTCAATCCCATTGGGGCACATGTGGGAGGCAACCAATAGATGTTTCTCTATTACATCAATGTTTCTCTCTCTCACTCCCTCTCTTTCAAAAAATTATATAGAAGTCTCTCAAAGATATAAAACCAGAAACGGCCCAAAGGAGTTGCATTTTGGAGATCAGACTGAAACAGGAACATGTAGAGCTGAGGATTGTTGAAACTATTTTAAGCTCTTTTGTAAAATAACTCTGAAAAATAGCACTTGCAGTAAGCATCTTTGTGCATAAAGGATGGTTGCCATTTTGAGTCATGTTTTCATGATACATTCTTAGAATTTCTGTGTCAAAGATCTCAGATACAGATTTGCTTCCAAAATTAGGCAGGGTTGTTAAAGAGTTTAAAGGAGTGGCATATCTAAACTACCGAGCACATAGCAGGCACTCGATACACATTAGTGAGAAACAAATTAATCACCTTGAGTTGTGTACAAATTCCAGCCCCTTCCCATGAGCTGCTACAAAGAAGACGCTCCCTGGTTCTTTCGCTAATACAAATAGTACTGCAGGGAGCAGTCCTGTGCCACCGTCCACTCAGGTTGGAGTGTATATTCCAGGGAGAGATTTCTAGAAATGGGTATAAACACCTGTCTTTTTGCTAGATATTGCCATGTCGCCTCCATGGGGGGGGGGGGGGGATACCATTCTGCACTTCCCCTCGTAATGTGGGAATGTGTTTTTCTCAGGCTTCACCAAGAGAAATTGTTGTCCAACTATAGGATGTATATTCATCTGATGGGTGAGAAATGGTCTCTCGGCATTGTTTGAATTTGCATTTCTAGAGGATACTTGTCATTTCCCTCTGTCACTGCCCAGTTTAAATTTCTCTGACCTTTGCTAGCACTTTAATTGGTCTAGCTGCTTGCCAAGGGGATGACCCAGACCTTTGTTCCTGAGGGGCCTGAGCCCTTGATGGCCTTGCCCTTGGGAGGTCAAGGATGCCTCATTGCCCCTGTAGCGTCATTACTGAGCACAGAACTACCAAGGGGCATCCTCGGAGATTCTGAGTTCCAAACATTCTCCTTCTGCCCCACAGAGGATCAGCACCCCTGCCTCTTCATGAGAATCAGGGTTGATCATACCCTCCCACCATCGTAAGTCCACTTTTCCTTCCGAACCACTGGTAGGAGGATCCAAAAGTGACCAGGTGGTGGTTGTAGCTTCGGGTTGTGTGGAACTCTCCAGTGTCCCTCGGTGGCAGAACTTGCCCCTCCCTGAGAATCGGAACTTCTTTCCAACAGAGTCTCAAGTTGTAGAACACAAAGCCAAACGACTACAATTGGGCATCTCCTTCTTCTACTGGGTTCCTGGACCTCTGTATTCCAACTGATAAGACAGAGCACCACATAGCAACCATTGGTTGGACACCTATTGCACCCAGACAGCATCCTCTCTGAGTCTTTCAGACCAACTACTTCCAGGTGTCACGGTCTATAGGCAGACCAGGGGGTCCCGTGAAAGAATCACTACACCCTCCAGTTTGGATAGGATCTCATGTAATCAACTTGTTCGATGCCCTCAAAGAATGAAGCCACCCTAGGGACTCTGTGGATGGCAAGTCAGACAATCAGCAGCGGCAGCAGCGAGGTCAGCCTTGGTGAGCAGGAGCCCAAGCCGTTGGGCCAGGGCACAGTTTCCATCCCGGCCGCAATGACTACACCAGCCACTGCCACGCTGGAGTGGCTAAGGTCAGAAGTCAGCGGATGCCCACCAGGGAAGACATCCTGCCCACCTGGCTGTCGAGTGCCTCCTCTGAGGTGGATGCTTCCTCATGAGCAGAGGTGTAAGGCAAATATCTTCACACTCGGCACTCACCCCTCGTAGGTCCACCCACATGCCTGTCCCTTCGGCTTCAAGCCCAGTGGTTCACCACTGTTCGGAAATGTATACCTCTACCATAGATCACTCTTCGCTCCATAAAATGCTGACAACTGAAAGCACTGCTGAGGGCTGAGGCCACTAGGATTTCCCCTCTACACTGCCTTTCAGGGCCACCCTGCCTGGGGCTATCATGCAGCAAGAGGCCATTTTTGAGTCACATGAACTTATAGGTGAGCCTCCCCATCCATAAACCAGGCCTGGATGTTTTCTCTCTCCGTTATCCGGTCATAGAGAAGCCCCTCTGAGGCCCTACGTGTGAGCTGCAGGGAAGGCACCAATACAACAGATTATGTGACATGGGACTCTGAGCTACGCGCTCACGTAACTTGTTTGTGCCTTCTGGACCTCCTCAGGTGCAATGTACCCTTCCACCATACAACGGAAATGGACTGCTGGTGTGCCTCCCTGACCTCATGACTTGATGGATTCGCATAATCAGTTGGTGTCCGTTGGCTAGTCAGTTTTTATAGGGCCTAATGGTCCATCAAGAGGTACATTTTAAAATATATATAATTTTATTGATTTCAGAGAGGAAGGGAGAGGGAGAAAGAGATAGAAACATTAACGATGAGAGAGAATCACACCCCACACAGGATGGAGCCTGAAACCCTGATTGTGAATCGAACCGTGACCTCCTGGTTCATAGACAGATGCTCGATCACTGAGCCACACCAGGTAGGCAGGAGCTCCGTTTTGGATACAGAGCTCCCTGCTGCAGGAGGCATGGCCTGGCTAGAGGGTCTGTGCCATGCATCTCCTACTGGGGCTTGTCAGAGACTCTTCGCAGTGTCCCTATCTCCAAGGGACAGAGCAACTTGTGCTGCAACCTAATGCACAGCCATCCCTTACTCTGGGCCTCATTTGAGATTGTTAGACTTCTGCCTACCTGGTAAGTGGATTGGGATGGTATTCTCAAAGCGGCATATACTGCCTCCAAAATCCAAAGGACCCATCAAACATGAATATGTTTCTTAGAAATAAGGAGTATAAGGGATGATAATTTGTTCATTCCCTCAGAAGGGATGTCCCAGCATGCCTCAAACCAAGACCCCCCCCTAAAGCCCTCACTTAAGGACTGAATCTTTTTAGAGTTTATATCCCATCCTCTGGCACATATACACTGAGTGGACAGATTATTATGATCTCTGAACGCATAATAAGCTGGCCACTCAGCGTATTTGTGTCTCAAATGGGTACCAAAAGCATTCTAGACTTTTGCCGGAGATCAACCTCCTATTTGCCCTGAGTTTCTTATCAATCATTGCAAAGGGGAAAACTGATCAGGTGCATGATTTATAGTATCTTTGATATCAAATAAATGAGGTACTCAGGAGAAGAAAAGAGAGTGGCCAGATTATTATGCGTTCAGAGATCATAATAATCTGGCCACTCAGTGTATATCTTATTCAGATATTCAAATTAATACCATATTTCTGTTTACCAGGTCCAATTACCATGATGTCATCAACATAGCAAACCAGAGTGATGTTCTGCAGAAAGTCAAGAAGACCAAGGCCTTTGTAGACTATATTGTGATAGGACAGGACAGTTATCATAGTCTTGGGGCACAACTGTGAATGAGTACTACTCCTCCCATATATGTGTGAACTGCTTTTGGCTCTCCTTACCCATGTGGATTAAAAAGAACATATCGACAGGGTTAAAGACAAATGCCCAAGGCTGTGCTGATCTATCTCAATAAAGATCCTACATCCAGCAAGAGAGCTGCATAGAGGCTACCATTTGGATCATATGGACATCCTGATAACCACATGATCCAAAAGGATCCAAACAGATCCTGCAGACACTGACACAAGTGGATTAAATGAGGGATGTAATAGGGGCCACTACCCCTGTAGCCTTTACATCTTTGTGGGGGGCATTAATTTCTGAGCCCAAACAAGCTGCCAACTTACAGATTCAGGAACTAAATAATGGTTCTAGTCTTAAGCTACTAGATTTTGGTCAGGGTTGTCATGTAGCAAAAGCTGCACTGGATATGCAGGTTGGAAATGTAGAAGAGAGATGTGAACAGCCCGTGTAGATTTAGGAATCATAAGACGGTAACTGAAGTCAACAGAGCAGGTGAGAATGTTCTGGAAAATCAAGTGGCGTCAGAGCAGCTTGAGGGCCCCAAAGTCAGCAATACCTACCTACTAAGTTCAGGGATTCCTATCTCAGAAAAGGGCATTGCCACCTACCCAGGCACCAAGGCTGCAGACCTGAGCCTGTAGCAGCACACACCATGCCTCTGATCTCTCCTTCAGGCACCCTACCCTCCAGCAAAGTGGGACTTTCTAATGCTCCCCAGATGTGCTGTGCTCTCCTCCCACCACCACGCCACTGCCCATGCGTTTTCTTCTAAGTGCAAAGCCCTTCCCGGCCCCCTCTTCACATACTTAACTATTTCAACTTCACGTGTCACTCCTTCTGGGGAGTCTTCCCTGGCCTCCCCCAGCCAGGAGTTACCTTGTCCTCCTTTCATACATTTCTGCGCACAGTTCACAGCACACATCGCTGAGATGGTTGTTTGATCTCTGCCAGCCCTTCACATCCTCCTCACCTGATCGTGTGGCCCTGAAGGGCATAAAAGGACTGTGCCTTTTCTGTCTGTAGGCATCCGCGCTCACATATAGTCAAGAACTTAGAATGTCTCTCTGGGAACAAATAAGTCTGAGCAGCGTCCAGCTTGGGATGGGGAGATTTCAGAATGGCCAGTTTGAATGATGAGTCTGATTAAATTTTTCTCTCTTCCTTCAATAGAATGCATAGCAGTCATTGTTGGTAGACAAATCCAACACTCATTCTCCACCAGGTGGCTCAGTTGGTTAGTGTCATCCCGATACCCCGAGGTTGCAAGTTCGATCTCCAGACAGGGCCCACAGAAGCAGCCACCAATGAATGCACAGATAAGTGGAACAACAAATTGATATCTATCTCTCTCTCAAATCAATTTTAAAAAATTGAAACATTTTCCCTTTGTTCCCTTAACTAGAGAGGCTCTTTTCTAAAAGATGTTTTCTTGGGCTTCCTTATTCAGTGTGGCCACTAAGGCGAGGCGGAAGTCTGCTACAGGTTTCTAGGGAAACCTTTGCTTTTCAGATCCAAAGGACACTTGGGCTGGCTCAGCCCTTTCTCCCATCTTCCTGCCTGAAATACAGATGTGACCCCTGAAACTTCATCAACTACCTTGTGTCTGAGGCAACACGCCAGCACGCTAAGGGTGGCAGAGCAGAGAGTGCCCACCAGTCAGCCTCCCATGGCATCTTAGAAGCACTGCGCTGGCCGTGGGCTGACAGACTGCAGACCTCCCCTTATGTGGGAGTAAGCCATCTGGCTGTTTAAGACGCTACTTGTCAGGTGTTCTGTCGCAGAGGAAAAAGCACCTGAGACCGACTACACAGAGCAGCAGGAACTGAGGGCCAGAGTGCTGAGTCAAGGTCTGCTAGGACCAGTGCTACAGATAAAACTATCCATTAACAGCGACACAGGAGTCTGTGAGTTGTTGTTGTTTTTCTTTTCAATTCAGCTCTTGATGCTGCGGGGGAGATGTGGAAACTGAAATGCAGCCTCTGTTCTTCAGGCGTTCACAGGCAGGTGGGTGGCGGTCTGATGAAATGCCGTGTGCCCGGTGCGGTTAAGAGCTGGGTTTTATAAAGCTCAGAGGAGAGGGTGCTCAGCGCAGGGGAAGTGGCTCAGAAGGGGGAGGTTTCCTGGTGGATGAGGGGTTTGAACAGGGCTTCAGGAGATGAATGGGGTTTTGATGAGCCCATCCATGATCTCTCTGGAGAGGTGAGTGAGCTGAAGTAGGTAACCGGCTGGCAAGCCCCGGCACGTTAGTAGAGGCTCATTACGTATTAAATGCCCTTCTGGTCCTCTCCACAAAGGGCTTACAAAAACGTTTCTCTCCCTCTGAGATTCACTTACTCAACCCATATTTATTGAGTCTGCACTGTGTGGATGAGGAAGTGCTTGGATTCAACTGTGAGCAGAACACATTTAGTATCTGACCTCAGAAACCTTCCGGGCCCTGGCCGGGTAGCTCAGTTGGTTAGAATGTCATCCTGATATCTTACAGGTGCAGGTTCAGTCCCCAGTCGGGGCACATACATGAAGCAACCAATGAGTGCATAAGTGAGTGGAACCACAAATCAATGTTTCTCTCTTTCTCTCATCAATTAAAAAGTTAAAAACAAAACACTTCTGTTCCAATGACAGAGACAGATGACAAACGAAAGAAAAATGCAAGGCTGGCAAAGGCAGGATTAATAAACTCAGGACTGGGTAACTTCTTTCCCTTCTTTTAGGCCTCTGCCTTCCCAGATTGGTCGCATGTCCAGATTTCCGTTGCCCAGGCAACTCCACAGGCAACCCTGCCTCCTGCTGCCGGTGCTGTGTGAAGTCACCACGCCCAGGCCACCCCACAGCCTGCAAGCTTCTACTATTTTTTTCTGCCCACCCTGTACCACCACCCCCATGGCCCTTTCCTCATCACACAGATGCCCCCATTCTTCCTGATGTGGGCGACTGTCACTCCAGCCCACACTCTGGCCACAGCATTCTGCTCCGTTTCCAGGGAAATGCACTGCCCCCTTATCCTAAAGGGCCCCTCATTTCCTTCTCCCCCCTGATGGCCTCCTCCTGTCCAGAGCTGAGGGATCACACAGTTGATCCCAAACGGGGACACTGTGAAGAGGGAAAGGGGGCACTATTAATAATCACATCAGACAACAGGCAGCCAAGGCATGCGGTCTCCTCTCCAGAGCCCCCCAATGCTGAGGTCTCATGCTCCAGGTCTTCGTCCGGTACCTCACCATTTCCCAAACTGTGTTCTGTGGAACATCCGGGAGATATCCATCAGGCTTCACAAAAACAAGAAGAAACCGAAGATTCCACACTGAAACCATTTTGAGAAACTCGGAGTTAACCCAAGATAAACAGACGTCCTCAGTGCAGGGCTTCCTCTTTCCTCCTCGCAGCATGTTGCTATCTCCTCTGACAGCACACAGTGACACGGACATCCAGCAGAGGAAGACGCGTCCTCCCACGTATGTTTTTACCATTCGTTCTTAGCACGGAATCCTTTCCCAGATGCCCCGCCACCTCCACTCAACCTCCCTGGAGAAGTCTCCCCAGGTCTCTGTGGCTAGTCAGGTGACCAACCATCCCAGACTGACAGGTTTTCTGGGACTCAGCACTAATGGTGCTAAAACCGGGACATTCCCAGGCAACTTAGATGAGTTCAAAACTGGTTAGGAACGGACCACATGACTGCCTAAATCAGTCACTGGGTAGAGGAAGGGACTAGTTTAGACAGAGCAGGATGTACCCCCTGCTACAGCAAGGCTAGCTTTCCTGAATGTGGAATAAGGAGTACCCAAACAAAACCCACTTTCTTACAGTGAGGAAGAGGGGAGAAAGCTGTTGGGTAGCCAACCAGCAGGGCTAACTTACCCCCCCAAAAATGGGATACAGTGATAGTTCTCACCTCCTGACGCTGTGAGGGTTATATACACTCACATGTGACAGTGCCTCGCCTAGAGAGCCAACTCAGCAGCTTGTCATTAAGAACTTGTGTATGCAGAGCGATTACTTGCTAAAGGTATTACATATATTGTCACTACATCTACACAATGTTCTAGGTAACAGGGATGTAAATCCCACGTTAAAGATGCTTGTAAGACACAGTAAGGTCAGGTGATCAGCCCAAGGTCATACGGTGGATAGGGGTAGAGCCAGGTCTCAAGACCAAACTACGTCTGTCTGACATCAAGATGCCCGTCTGTCTTCCCCACTGCCTCGTGTAATTGTGTCTTAGATGTTAACTTCCCTCCTTTTTACCTCCAGCACCTCGCCCTGGGCCCAGCACAGAGCACCCATTTATTAATATTTTTTAAAAATGAATAGATGGTAACAACTGACATTCCTGTAACCATTATGATTTACAGGAACTTTTCCCTGAATTTAGGATTTTCTGCTTCCAGGGACGCTTCTAGCAAATGGCAACATATATCCACCTGCACAAACCAGGAAACTAAGAGTCACCATCAACCCCTCTCTCCCCATCCCACACAGCATATCCAACCCACCATCCAGGGCACCTCTCAGCTCTGTGCATTTCTCTCCATCCTCTGTAACCTTGGCCCACGTCCTCACCTGAACTGCTCAAGAGCTCCCTAACAGGCCTGCCCAAATCCCCTGAATCCATCCTCCTGTCTCTACTACACGCTGTGGCCAGAGTGGTTGTCTGTTTCTGACCAGATCGCCTGCCCACTGAGAGCCTTTAGTGTTCATTCCTTTGGGGATAAAGCCCACTGCCTGGCCACTGCCTACCTTGCTTGCCTCCTCATACTGTCCTAGCCATTCTTCCCCCCCCTCCCCCCTTCCCCCACTGCTCTTCCCGAAGTCCCTCCTTCTTGTGCTCCTTCCTGCCGGGTGACCTTCGTACGTGCTGTCCCCTCCCCTCTTTGCCTGGTGAATTCTTACTCATCTCAGGTCGTAGCCCAGACAGCTTTTTTCCTGGTAAGACACCCCTGGCCACCACGACCAGATCAAACCCCCCCCCCCCCCCCCCTTAGAGGCTCTTGCAGCACCATCTACTTTTCCTCAACAGCCCAGGTGGCGCAGTTGCAGTTTCATATTCACTTGTGAGTTTGTTTGATTGGTGTCTGTCCTTCAACTAGTCTATAAGCTTGGTGTCTGTTTTTTTATGGTCTCACATAATTGTCCTCATCCTCCCATTCCCATCCCAAACCCCTCCCTACATATGCCCCCTCCCCCGTTGTCCATTGGCTACTGGCCAGGCCCATATGCATGCACGTAAGTCCTTTGGTTGATCTCTTCCCCTTACCCCCACCCTCCCCTACTTTCCCTCTGAGGTTTGAGAGTCTGATCACTGCTTCTCTTTCTCTGGGTCTATTTCTGTTCATCAGTCTATGTTGTTCATCATTTCCTCTAGATGTGTGAGATCATGTGATCTAAGAAATACTCTTGTAAGAACCTAAACTGAGACAAGCCATAATGGTTATGCTGAGAGGCAAATGAATCAGTTTGTAGTGAGTTCCTTTCTGGGCCAACAGTTCTTTTGAGTCCCCATTTCAATGTCAAATAGTTCCTTATGTGTACATGTCAGCCATGCTATTTCAGATCTGGTTGGTGGACAAATGATGGTGATGCAGGTCTGACCGTCTCTGGTTTGGTCCTGGGCTGGTGTCTGG